TATTTAATTCCAAAATAGGTTCATATATTTTTATAATAACATATCCAAACCAAACTCGTATTATATGAAACCAAACTGAATTAACAAACAAAAAACACTAAAGGATTTTTTGTCGCAAAAATATTAATTATATTGTTAGATTTGTTTCTAGGATCTATTTTAATCTTTTAATTGCCCACACAAATTTTTAGAAGGGAAACAAAATATTGTATTTATCTAATATGTGTCTAACTCTTTTTTTGGGTCCAAAAATGTGTCTAATTATATCTTAAAATATGTATGTCAAAAACATATTTTACATGGTCATATATTTTCAAAAGAAAATAAAATAAAATTTATTTTGGTATTTTATTTTTTAAATAGTAATTGTTTGAAATATATGTTAATTTTTTGTCACATTTTATGATATATATGATTTAATATTTAATATTCGAAATAATTATTTTTGGCAAGTTAGGACTATTTTCATGTGTTTGGCAATTAGAATAAGAGTAATCAAAATAATTAGATTTGGAAATAAATATGTTTAGGAATGAGAAGAGAAGATTTAAATAAATAGTAAAAAAGATGAGAAAATTTGTGGAAGTGACACATCATAAAAAATAGTTCAAAATATTTCTTATATACATACTGTTGAATTAAAGGTTCGAAGAAACAATGAGAACCAAATGAGTGGTGGCCTAGTGGTAACACAATGGGGTTGGTTCTTTTGTGCCCCGGATTCAAACCTCTTTTAGGACTAAAGGTTATTCTTTAAATTAGAATATCTAAAAACTATCTCCGGATACCGAGAAAATTATGAACTAAAGGTTCTGAACTCCCACGGTTTATTAAAAAAACAGTGAGACAAAAAAAAAATTATAAACATTTAAAACATAACATTTCAAACTTGTCTAACATGATGGCAAAAACGGGCTCTTTCTCTGGAGCTATGGCAATACTAGAATTTATAGTCCATCTCAAAAGCTTGACAACTAATCCCCTCTCAGATATGATCAACAGTGCCTACATGAATGCTTTTATCTCACAACAATGTAAA